ACATTTTTATATGTATATTTAATATCAGAATTGCACCCGTGCGGAGCCAGGGCGGCCTGCTAGTATAAAATATGCCATTTTATAACTAGATACTTGTTAAAAAACACTTGTTACCAATAGTACCCAGTCGTTGAATAATTCATGTAATCAGCAATTTATGATTGTCTACATTCATCATTTTGATAATATAATAATTAAGAGAAACATATTTGATCCAATAGTGACCTATATCTCTTAGGGTTTTCATGTTTTAGGTGTTAATATTCACCAAAACTCTACGAATTCTATTCAATGAATAACACACTTTACTGCTTCTTGAAGCAGGCAACATATATGGCGATCAAAATTTAGCAAGCGACATTTAGGTAAATACTTTTTGTGTTGCATTCGAAATAGCAGTGATTTCATAAGTGGTGCTCAATAATAAACTAACCAGATAGGTAGGTAGCGTTTGATCGTATGATAATTTTTTTTGAGTAACCAAAATAACTGAAAGTGGTCATTGAAGTTTATTCCCTGAATATATTTAACTTCATTGAAATATTTCAAAGATATATTCACAAGCGTTTGTATTTTCAATATTGTGCGAAAAAATACCATTACATTCTTGTTCTTTCATATTTTAATAGCATTGGCTATATATTTTCATATTGTTACACCAATGTTTTCCTTTCATCGAGTCTTATCAAAGTAGTTTGTCAGGCATGTGAAATGAATAAAACGGAGTTCAAGGGCAACACGCAAATCTTTACAATATTTCCACAATGATTTTCATGGTCAAACTGATAATATTTAATTAGTTAATGATACTTTATTTAATTCATTGCGTATTATATAAGAGATAACTACTGCCAACAACGGAACTAACAGGATGGTTTAGATTTATGAATGAATAAAATATTAATTTGGATTTGTTAACTCAAGTAAAGCGACCTCTAGGACGTTCAATGTACCTAGAGTGATTTTTTCGTAGTCAAAATTTCCTTGTGCCAACTATGAATTTGAAAATTCTGAAATTGGTTGCATTTATTATTATTTATTTAACATATCGAAAAAATTATTCTTTACCTACTACGTTTAAGATGAACATCATAACGACATTGAGGTAAATGACCTGATATCAGTCTTGAAAATAATAACTCAATAATTGTTTGAACATTTTATGTTATCTCACTGATGTAATATATTATCGTGAAAAATATTCCAATATTTTAGAAGATAAACAAAACTAGTAACAATGAACTTTCAATTCAATTCAATTCAATTCAATTTTATTTGGAATATGTTAATATACAATTTATTAATATTATGGTTAGGACCACTAGGAGTTTGAGGAAAGCAGCCTAAGCGCAGGTGGCTTGTAATGTGCTTTCGTCTGTCTCCCCGTGGAAGTACTTTAAAAATATATCAGGCACAAAAGTAAAAAAAATTTAAATAACTGTTGCAGTTGTATTAGTGAAACTGATCGTTTAGGTATTGTTTAAAAGCCATATTGACTGCACTTTGGATTTCGTCTCGAATATCTCTTGTTAAAACCATGATTTTCAGTTTCACACAAAATAATATTATTAGTCAACTAATTAGGCTGTTTCTTGCAAATGTTGAAAATTTTTAAAGCACTCTGTTAATATATATTCGACTTTTAACTAGGAGCACCCTTTCATGCACTACTCACTGTCGGCCATACATACATACAACTTAGCTGCAACACAGTCAATCCAATATTTTTTCAACTACTATTTTGGTGACTTTTCAGTCTGTCTTACAAGAAAGGGGTTTTCCCTCATTGTTGGAAGATTGCTCGCGTTCAGCCTATTTCCAAAAAGGGCAAAAAATTCTTCTAAATAACTATAGACCAGTCGCTTTGCTATCAGTGATATAAAAAATCATGGAGAAAGCTGTACACCACCATATCCTCAAATATTTGGAAGGCGTCAACATCTTGAGCGATCATCAATATGGCTTTCAGAAACAAAGATCAACAGGCGACCTTCTATCGTATGTCAGCCATATTTGGAATAACGCAATCGAGAAACATGGAGACTCAAGAGCTGTTGCGCTTGATATTTCTAAGGCCTTTGACCGTGTCTGGCATGAGGGTTTGCCGGCCAGACTTCGGTGCTATGGCTTTTCGGATCACTTTTGTATATGGCTCTTCAGCTTCCTGAAAGAACGTTCCTTGCAAGTGGCCATTTTGGATATCTCTCGAAAACTTTCACCATCAACACTGGTGTTCCCCAGGGATCCATATTGTCTCCAACCTTCTTCTTATTGTATCTGTATCTGTAGAGTAGGGAGGGTGAGTGTAAGCCCACGCACTTAGGCCACCTTCTTATTGTATATCAACGACTTATTGGAAAAACCAAGAATCCAATATATTGCTTTGCTGATGACAGCACACTTGTCACGTCATTACATTTGGATTCCAGGACATCGGCTGCGGATGCACATCTTCACCGGCAGCAGGAGGTTGAATATTTTAATGAGGATCTAGAAGTAATTCCGAATTGGGGTGAAATCAAGTAAGTTCAATTCAATACCACAAAATCCCGGCATCGATTTTCTTCAAAAAGTTAAATGTTTCAGAACCGAATATGATACTGTCAGGTCTGACAATTCCGCTTTCTGCTTCGATAAGTTTGTTGGGGATTAAAGTGTACACCAATATGTCTTGGCATAATCATGTCGCTGAAATTGCAAAGGTTGCTTCTGGATAGCATGGAACACTGAACCAGAATACTGTACACACCTCAGCAACTTTTGATGCTTTATAAAGCTCAGATTAGACCTTCTTTAGAGTATTGTTCTCATGTATGAAACTCCGCTTCTAAGCACGCCCTGAAGCAGCTGGATTCCATCCAAAAAAGAGTCATCCGCCTGATTGGATACACTAACATCACTTGTAACCTTGATAGTCTGGAACATCGAAAAATGGTTGAAGATTTGTTACTCTTTTGTAGATAGTGTCACGGAAGATGTTCAAGTGACTTTACACATTTGATTACACCAAGAGCGGTACATATCAGAAATACGCGACGGACTGTGACTGCTCATCGTTCAACTCAGTAAACCTCAAACCTCACTGTACAAGAACTCTTTCACTTGGAGAACGGCGTTTATGTGGAATAAACTTTCTGAGAACGTTTTTCCAACTGGATTTAATCTCCAGCGATTCAAATCCAATGTGAATCACTATACTTTCGCACGGGGACCGCTCTAAGAGCACCTTAAGGATTTTCCTGTAGTGCTTGAGTTTTGTTCTTAGATTAAACATTCAGAGTAAAACCTAAATGTAATTTTCAAAGGATCCTTGTTAAACCTCGTCTTCACACAGTTTCAGTTGCGAAGATGTTATGTGTTCGTAACTTTCATTAGCTATTGTAACTATTCTCCAGTGTACTCACATTGTAATTTTTTTGGGCCCAGTATCTACTGGTTTAATTTCTTGAAATGCATATGAGTCACACTTTTTGTGGAATTCGTACTCCACACTCACTCCGTAACATTTTGCCAGCGTGGCTGAAATGAAGTTGCTTCAACAATCCGATGAAAGTATGCAATTTTATTTGTTCGATGATATATTTTATTACTTAGAGAATGCACAAGACTGGAATTCGTTTTTCAATGTTATCTTATGCTTTCGGATTTTTTTAAGAAGAAAACAATGTTGTTTTTAGACATATTGTGTGCTTCTGAAAATATTATATTGTTGAATTACTTTTTTATATACGAAAACTTTAATATGCTTTTTATCGCCAAACATTAGACCAGAGAGCTAATTTGTATGAAAATAATCAACAGTTTTTATCATCAAATCGGTGAAATGTGTTTCGAAAAAAGCATTCAAGAGTTTTGGAGTTGAGTAAGTTGAAAATATTCAGATAATGATTCATTTCGAAAAGCCAACCTACTCATATCTAGTTCATAGTGCCTTTCAGGTTGGATTTTTTTTTGTCGAAAATTATTAACCTGGTCGAAATTCATGTCTGAGAGACCCGACCTGCAAGAATTTCCGCCGACCTGCAAAATGTATCTTCAATTTTGTGAGACTTGTGAAATTATTAAGTGGGGGTTGGAATTATTTTCTGTCAGAAATGATTAACCTGGTCGAGATTCATGTCAGGCAGACCTGACCTGCAAGAATTTCTGCCGACCTTCAAGGTTTATTTTCAATTTAATGAGGAATGTGGACTGTTTCCATACTCAAAGAGTGGGGGTTGAATTTTTTTTGTCGAAAATGATCAACCTGGTCGAGATTCATGTCTGGGAGACCCGACCTGCAAGAATTTCCGCCGACCTGCAAAATGTATCTTCAAATTTTTTTAGACGTGTGAAATTATTAAGTGGGAGTTGGCATTATTTTCTGTCGAAAATGATTAACCTGGTCGTGATTCATGTCTGGCATACCTAACCTGCAAGAATTTCTGCCGACCTGCAAGGTTTAGTTTCAATTTAATGAGGAATGTGGACTTTTTCCGTACTCAAAGGGTGGAGGTTGAAATTTTTTTTGTCGAAAATGATCAACCTGGTCGAGATTCATGTCTGGGAGACCCGACCTGCAAGAATTTCCGCCGACCTGCAAAATGTATCTTCAACACTCATGTATTGNCCCTTGGAGACATAATTTTTGATGCAAATTATGATTTAAAAAATCGTTTCTTGAGAAAAAATGTATTGCTTGAAAATGGATTTGTTAATTAACAATTTTTTTCTACCACTTGTGATAAATATTAAGGAACCATTTTTTCAGATCAAACTTTATTTTTCTCTTTAATTGATAATAAATGTTCATATTTGAATTTTCATTGTTGATTTAATAAACCATTTGTTATAAACAATTACATATTTTCTATATATCTTGTTTCATCTTTCTACACAATGTAATAAAAACAACCATGTATTAATTTCTTTGGAAATATATTGTTTATATTTCATATTGAATTTCAAAAATTCAGTTCTCTTTTACTCCATCATTCTCAGCTGGTTTCTGGTTGTTCATATTTGCATTTCTATTTGCTTTGAGAATTTGTAGAGTATGAAACAAATGAATTTTATCTTATTTTTCACAGTAAATACAGAAAGCTGTGGAGTAATACCAAATTTATCACACAATTCTATGGAATTTGATCCCATATCAGTAATTAAAAATTATTAGTCATTGGGCCCCACTGGACCTAGCTCTGAGTAACCTTTCCAGAAGGCTCTGGCTTATCGATCCAATGTACATTCATCACTGTCGTAGGGGGCTCTAGGAATACTGGCGGTCAATGAGACTTGAGAAACGTAAGCTTATTCATTAAATTTTGTGATGAACTCTTCAATTTTTTTTTCGGATTTTCGGATTGAAAAGCTTCATATACAAAAGTAGGGTGCTAAAGCCGGCCCTTATCCTCCCACCAACCGTTTGACCTTGAATGACGTCACTTGTCCTTGATATATGTGCACATGATGTGACTTTGAACGTGAAGTTCGACCTTGACACTCGACTCTTCGATGACCTTGATATTGCGTTGTTACGAAATATTACAGTAGGTATTCGTGCAGTGAATATGGAAATAATTTCAATAGGAGTGACAACCTGCGTCATCATCAGCGGGATTCCTTTACTTGCTTGAGTATCGATCTGATTTTTCTGTTGGAAATATAATTCTTTGGAAGGCACATAATGCATTAAATCAGCTGAATTTGGCGCCAATTTCTGTGATAGTTGAGTGAAAGTATCAGGTCAGTAAAATGAAAGGAGAAGGGGAAAATTCACGCTTCAATGAACAACATTCAGCTATAAAAGCTGTGGGAGTCATCAATCAGTTATTAGTTCCAATTTGTTTTGTGCTTTGCTGAAGATGTTTCGTTTGTTTCCTGTTATTGCCGCTTCCTGCTGTCGTATGGTACCCCTACCTACGGAAATATGGGCCCTAATATTTAGGTGAGTATCTTTTTGTTTCCTATGTTGTGTATAATAATCATCTATCATTTTCATTTATTCAACTAACAAAATTTGTTTTTCTAGGATGTTGGACCCATGTTCATTAGTTGCTTCTATCAGAGCCAATCCGCAATGGATGGATATTTGCGTCGGAGATTCTATTCTGAGACAGAAAATCCGAGAAGGATTAGAACTGGAGAGAAAACACAATCTGGAGGTTGTCATAGACCCACGGACTACTGTCCAAACTTTTCGATTGGGTAATACCGAAAGGATGTTTTCCCGCAATATGAGGAAAACGGTAGTCCAAGAGAGGTCACGAATACAGATTGAACCAATTCCAGCAAAAAAGAGGAAAATTTTAGTACAACTGATTCCAAGTGATCAGGAGATGAAGACGAAGAGAGCTAGAAAGTGTGTGAAATATCGATTATAAATGATTGATTGCAAAATTCCAAACGTTTTTTGTGATTCTGTGATTTGAAATAAAATTGATACCTTTTATTTTTTCTTGTCATTTCAATAAATGAATTATTAGTCTTCTGATAAATGAAATGAAAAAATTGCATTTTTCAATTTATCATAATTTATCACAATTTATAAAAATTGAAAAGTTTCAATAATCATTGAAAATATATTTTTCCATATGACTATCCATCCTATTTTTATAATTAGAAGCCACATGGAAATTATTTTTAAAAACTTTCATCTGATATTGTTCAAGAAGTTGTTATAAACAAATGCGTTGTCTAAAGGAAGTCAAAATTTTTGTTTGGAAACATAATCTTTGATGCAAATTATGATTTGAAAAAATCAATTCTTGAGAAAAAATATATTGTTTGGAAACGAATTTGTTAATTAACAATTTTTTTCTACCACTTGTGATGAATATTAAGGAACCATTTTTTTCAGATCAAACTTCATTTTGCTCTTTAATTGTTGATATTTGAATTTTCATTGTTTGTTTAGTAAATAATTACATATTCCCTATATATCTGTTTTCATCTTCCTACACAATGTAACAAAAATAACAATGTATTATTTCTTCGGAAAAAAATTATTTATATTTCATATCGAATTTCAAAAATTCAGTTCTCCTTTACTTCATCAATCTTACCTGGTTTCTTGATGTTCATATTTGCATTTGTATTTGCTTTGAGAATTTGTAGAGTATCAAACAAATGAATTTTATCTTATTTTTCACAGTAAATACAGAAAGCTGTGGAGTGATACCAAATTTATCAGACAATTCTATGGAATCTGATCCCATATCAGGATATAAAGATTATTAGTCATTGGTCCCCACTGGAGCTAGTTCTGAGTAAGGGAAATTGGTCACCATTCGTACGCGGGGCACATAAGTACAGTTGGTATAACAGAAAAACTAAATGGCACACAGACACATCTTTGTTTATGTGCATAGACATATCGACCGCCATGTTGCCAGCGGAGTGTCGCGCCAGTCGCACCACGGCGTTTCAGCTGATAATACATAACGTGTTTTTGCGGGCGGTGAGTAAATTTTTTACCTAAGTTCAGTTCGTAATTGTAAGTAGATTTGTTATGTTTTCGACAAAATGGTGTTGAATGATTGATATCAACATTGTTTAGTTTGAGCTTCAATTGTTATATTTCCCCAACTAAATTGGAATTTGTATAAAGTTAGATTTTAGTTTTGTGTAAAGCAGTGCCGTTTTTAGGTTTTCAGTGGCCCTGGGCCAGTCATCGTTGGGGGCCCCTCCCCCCTCCCCATAAAAAAATGTATTTTACAAAAACTCGTGTAACGAATATTTTTCACAACATTTCATTTATTACACAGGTTTTTTTCGGGCCTTTCGAATGGCGAACTCCTCGATTAAATCTTTGAAATCTAAATCTCTAAGGACATCGTTCTCTATACTCATAAGCGACAACCATTTGAGATTCTTCTGGCTCATGATATTCCTCAGTTCGTTTTTGATCAATTTAAGTTTGGAGAATGATCGTTCACCACTGGCGTTGGTGATCATTAAGCACAAGAAAATTCTTAACGCGATCTCTACATTAAGAAATTTGGCAGCAAGATTGTTACTCTTTAAAAGTTTGTACATGTCATAGATAGGTATATGATCACCGTACATGTTCATCCTGCATCAAATAATGCTTAAAGTGTTCACATTCCATCAGCAGTTCTTTTTCGTCGACGTCGTTTGTATAAAACTCGCTAAAAGTCTGACAAAGATCTTGCAGCTCTTCAAATCGCAAAACGCTCAACCTGGAAAAGAATCCGAACAAATTGAGTAGTTGATCGTAAGCCTTCGAACGATGTTGCAGTTGAGTGATCAAAGAGTCGATGAATTTCTCGCGGCCCTGGAACTGGGTATCTTCTGCATCTTCATCGGAGAAAGTCAGCCGGGAGCTCCTTTGTCTCGAACGGGTTGTCTTATGCCTGTATTCGAAGTCCGGGAAGATCTTTTTTGCCGCAGCTTCGTAGGTCTCGTACATGTCGCGTTGATCCTCCACAAACGCAAGCAGGGATTCCACCAACTTGAGGGCTACGTGGAGAGGAAGACTTTCACTCTGTAGACTCTTCGACGTCTCGTTGCACCTGACCAAAATGTTGCTCCACATCTCGGTCAGCAGAACAGAGTCCAACGTTTCCAGTTTCGCCAAAATGCCTCGAGCTTCGTTTCGCGTTTCCGGAGTTTCTCGTTCGTCATTCATGGTCCTCAGTGCTTTGATTATTGCTGGGTAACACTTGTGCAATGCAGATACCGCATCCGCGCGCGCAGACCACCTAGTGCCCGAAAGTCGTTTCACTACTGTACCTTCCCCGAGAGACTTCTTCAACACGTTCCAGCGATGTGTAGAACTGACGAAGAAACTGTACAACTTTTGCAGCAACTGGAAGTAGCTTGTCGCCTCGATGACACACCCAGCGGCCTGCCCAACGACGAGATTCAGGCTGTGCGACAGACATTGGACGAACAGGGCGCAGATGCAGTGTTCTTTGAGCTTTGCTCAACACTGCTCAAATTTGCTCAACACTGCTCAACACTGTTTTGTAATCCATTATACTGCCCTGCCATGTTTGGAGCGTTGTCGTACGTCTGCCCACGACAGTCCTGTAAATCTATACCATTTTCTTCAAGAAAAGATACAACGGTATCGGACAGGTACTCTGCTCCATGCCGTTCAATCGGAATGAAATCCAAGAATCGTTCTATTGGGGAGCAGTTCTTCATGTACCGCACCACGAAAGTGAGCTGATCGACGTGGCTGATGTCAGGGGTAGAGTCGACGCTTATCGAGTAGTACTTCGTTTTCTTCACTTCCGAAATGATTTGGCTCAGTACTTGATGTCCCATTTTAGCTATGAACTCATCGCAAATGGGTGCTAACAAATAGGAAACATGTCCTGTACCTTTATTCGCATGATTGTGCAAATGGTCGGCAAGAAATGGATCAAACTTGCTTAGCAGTTCCAGCACACCCAAGTAATTTCCGTTATGTTGCGATCCGATGACTTCGTTGTCCCCGCGGAACGACAGACCTCTGGATGCTAAGAATTTTACGACCTCCACGATACTTCCCAACACCTCTCTCCAGTAAGTCATTTCGTTGTTCAGTTGAGTAGCCAAACCTTCATCAACAAGACCAACGCTCTTCTTCCGTGCCACGTAAGTCAAGATGACTTGCCTGTGTCCTGGACTGTTCTCGTGTTCCAAAATGCACGCCCCGGAATGTTTCCAATCGTTGAAGCCTCTGGAAGAACTGAATGCGGTACACGCGGGTGAGAAGAATCGACACGGAAAGCAGAACAAAACTTTTTGTGATGGAGAGTACACAAGCCAGGATCTGTCAACTGTTTCGCCGTTTTGTAGTTTCCGAGAAAACACCGATGGGTTCAGGCATCGAAGTTTCACTTTTCCATCGTGTTCCGTATAACTTCTGGCAGAATCGAAGAAATCGCCATTTCTGTTCTGGAAAAATTCCGGGCCCTTACTGATCCATATAGCGCGATCTTCCTCGGTGAACTGCAACCAGTTCGCTGGGTCGTTAGAAACGTGTTTTGGTGTCTGATGAGTTTCCAGCAGTCCTTCAGTTGGAGGTTGTTGCGACTCTTCACAGCTGGGGGGCCGAATTTCCGGAACAGCAGTATCTGCCGAGGTTGATGGAGTGTCATCTTTTTCAGCAACGGGTGGTGGTGACTGAGCTGTTCTTGACGACAAATATTGGGTCAGCTTGGGCAACTTTTCTTCCGCAGCTTTTCGTCTCTTTGCCGCGCCGCTCAGATAGGTCTGACCTGACATCTTTCTGCGCTGATTCAACCTGTTAAATTTATTAACAATTATTTTATCGAAATTGAATTAATTTTTTTACATGAGTTCAGTTTGTAATTGTAAGTAGATTTGTTATGTTTTCGACAAAATGATGATGAATGATTAATATTAACATTGTTCAGTTTGAGCTTCAATTGTTATATTTCTCAAACTAAATTGGAATTTGTATAAACTTGTATTTTAATTTTGAGTAAAGGCATGGGGTGCATTCGGACAGCCAGATAGGGGGCACATTTGTACGCGTACGAATGCTCCCCTTTGGATTTTATTAACCACTAGTATATAAAATTTAATTTTTATGAAATAAAATATAGTATCGGCTTTTAACATTTTCGTGTAGACAACAAACACAATAACATTTTTTTTTTCTTTTATGAAATATTCTACTTCTAACAAAATAAAATATTTTTAATGAGTCAACGTTATAATTAATATTTTATTGCAGTCTCATGGTGCGAAAATATAAAAAAAAGGTACGCGTACTCAAGAAGTTGATGAAGAATCCATTAATCTAGCAATTGATGATGTAATACAAGGATGGTTGTCGTATAATCCTCAAGACACTGTTACCGGAACTGGTGAACCTTCCACCTCTGCCGCCGAGACACAATTGGTACCGAGTTCTTATCTTCCCATAACACCAGAGGTAATAAGACCTTATCCTACAGCTGTTAGAAACAGAAAAACCAATAAAGGAAGAAAACCGGGTAAATCCTGTATATATACAGATACACCTGAAAAAACTGAACAACAAGAGATACATAGACATATAGAATTGAAAAAAGAAAAAGAAAGGAAAGCCAGAGCCAAAGCAGTGAAACGTAGTTTGAAAGAACTCAGTTCAATAATAGAGAAATCTCAGAAAATAGAAAGCGATGAAGATTCAGAGGAATCTGAAGGATCGCAATTTAGCTTGCGGGAGAGTTCAACATCTCCAGTTGATTTAAAAATGGACGAAGAGACTGATGATCATAGTATCAATAATAATTCAATTGTGATAACAGAGGAAATCAAAGATAATTTTATGTTTTGGTACAATTCGAAAAAAAGACTTCGGTTGTTTATTACGTCGGAAAAGTTCTCAGTCATTATTCCGGCACAGAGATGAATATATCTTATCTTCGGTAGAAACCACGATCGTCATGGTCATTCTTTTTCCCTGATATAGAAGACATACACACTCTGTGTATCAGAGATGTCGCCATGATTCTAATTGTACAGCCCACGAACGGGCTGTACAATTAGAATGGCTAGGCTTTATACATTTGTAGTTGATTTAAATGATTATAATGTGCAATAAGATTCAAAGTAACAACCAAATGTATGATTACCTACTTTAAGTTTGAATTGTCAAAGACTCATGTCATACAAAATGATTGTAAACATCTCATTTAGACTGATTGTAAAGCTTAGAATTATCAATAAGTAAACTAAGGATGAACACTTTATTTTTTGTTATTTTTTAAAGAAAGTTTTACCGACTATTAGTCAAGTCACATATTTTTAAGTTAGTTCTTTGATAAATAAATATTTTTATGATTATCGATAAGAATTCAACGACTTCAATTGGCTTTTTAATTACCCTTTATGAATGTACCCCATGGCGTACCCCATGGGTACAAACGTACCCCGTACGTGGTGTACGTTCGTACAAATATCTTATCGTAGAAAAATCGCTATAATCCTTCAACCTTTTGACATAATAGATTGGAACTTTTTTTGTAATGAACTACAATGTATTTGTTACACTCAGGTACATAAAGTTGATGAATTCAACAATTAGTCATGAAAAAAAAAATTAAATCTAAAAAGTGTACGAAGGGTAACCACCTTGAATGACGTCACATGGATTTGAGATATATGCACATAATGTGACTTTGAACGTGAAGTTCGACCTTGACACTCGACTTTTTGATGTCCTTGAGATTGCGCTGTTACGAAATTTTGCAGTAGGTATTCGTGCAGTGAATATGGAAAAAATTTCAATAGGAGTGACGACCTGCGTCATCATCAGCGGGATTCCTTTACTTGCTTGAGTATCGATCTGATTTTTCTGTTGGAAATATAATTCTTTGGAAGGCACATAATGCATTAAATCAGCTGAAATTGGCGCCAATTTCTGTGATAGTTGAGTGAAAGTATTAGGTCAGTAAAATGAAAGGAGAAGGGGAAAATTCCACGCTTCAATGAACAACATTCAGCTATAAAAGCTGTGGGAGTCATCAATCAGTTATTAGTTCCAATTTGTTTTGTGCTTTGCTGAAGATGTTTCGTTTGTTTCCTGTTATTGCCGCTTCCTGCTGTCGTATGGTACCCCTACCTACGGAAATATGGGCCCTAATATTTAGGTGAGTATCTTTTTGTTTCCTATGTTGTGTATAATAATCATCTATCATTTTCATTTATTCAACTAACAAAATTTGTTTTTCTAGGATGTTGGACCCATGTTCATTAGTTGCTTCTATCAGAGCCAATCCGCAATGGATGGATATTTGCGTCGGAGATTCTATTCTGAGACAGAAAATTCGAGAAGGATTAGAACTGGAGAGAAAACACAATCTGGAGGTTGTCATAGACCCACGGACTACTGTCCAAACTTTTCGATTGGGTAATACCGAGAGGATGTTTTCCAGTAATATGAGAAAAACAGTAGTCCAAAAGAGGTCACGAATACAGATTGAACCAATTCCAGCAAAGAAGAGGAAAATGTTAATACAACTGACTCCAACTGATCAGGAGATGAAGACGAAGAGAGCTAGAAAGTGTGTGAAATATCGATTATAAATAATTGATTGTAAAATTTCAAACATTTTTTGTGATTTTGTGATTTGAAATAAAATTCATGCCTTTTATTTTTTTATGTCATTTCAATAAATGAGTTATTAGTCTTGTGATGAATGAAATGAAAAAATTGTTATTTTTCAATTTGTTATCAATAATTCACTTTGGTTGAAAATTGAAAAGATTCATTAATCATTGAAGATATATTTTTTGATATGACTATCAATCCGTTTTTATAGAAGCTACATGAAAATTATTTTTAAACACATTCATCTGTCATTGTTCAAGACGTTGTTAAAAACAAATGCGTTGTCTAAAGGATGTCAAAATTTAACTTTTGAAACATAATCTTTGATGCAAATTATGATTTGAAAAAATCAATTCTTGAGAAAAAATATATTGCTTGAAAACGGATTTGTTAATTAACAATGATTTTTTTCTACCACTTGTGATGAATACTAAGGAATCATTTTTTTCAGATCAAACTTCATCTTGCTCTTTGATTGTTGATGAATATTTATATTTGAATTTTCACTGTTAATTAATAAAGAATTTGTTATAAACAATAACATATTTCCTATATATCTGTTTCCATCTTTCTATACAATGTAACAAAAATAACAATGTATTATTTCCTCGAAAAAAAATCATTTATATTCCATATCGAATTTCAGAAATTCAAAAATTCAGTTCTCCTTCACTCCATCAATCTCACCTGGTTTCTTGTTGTTCATATTTGCATTTGTATTTTCTTTGAGAATTTGTAGAGTATCAAACAAATGAATTTTATCTCATTTTTCACAGTAAATACAGAAAGCTGTGGAGTGATACCAAATTTATTCGTTATAAACTCTTCTTTCTGTCGTATGGTACCCCTACCTACGGAAATATGGGCCCCAATATTTCGGAGAGTATCTTTTTGTTTCCTATGTTGTGTATAATATTCATCTATCATTTTTATTTATTTAACAAACATTACTTGTCTTTCTAGGATGTTGGACCCGTGTTCATTAGTTGCTTCTATCAGAGCCAATCCGCAATGGTGGGATATTTGCGTCGGAGATTCTATTCTGAGACAGAAAATTCGAGAAGGAATAAAACTGGAGAGGAAACACAGTCTGGAGGTTGTCATAGACCCACTGACTACTATCCAAACTTCTCGATTGGTTAATACCGAGAGGATGTTTTCCAGTAATCTGAGAAAAACAGTAGTCCAAAAGAGGTCACGGATACAGATTGAACCAATTCCAGCAAAAAAGAGGAAAATGTTAGTACAACTGACTCCAAGTGATCAGGAGATGAAGAATAAGAGAGCTAGAAAGTGTGTGAAATATCGATTATAAATGATTGATTGTAAAATTTCAAACATTTCTTGTGATTCTGTGATTTGAAATAAAATTCATACCTTTTATTTTTTCTTGTCATTTCAATAAATGAGTAATTAGTCTTCTGATAAATGAAATGAAAAAATTGTTATTTTTCAATTTGTTATCAATAATTCACTTAGGTTAAAAATTGGAAAGATTCAATAATCATTGAAAATATATTTCTCAATATGACTATCGATCCTTCTTTTATAATTAAAAGCTACATGAGAATCATTAATTTAAAAAACTTTCATCTGATATTGTTCAAGAAGTTGTTATAAACAAATGTGTTGTCTAAAGGCAGTCAGAATTTTCCTTTGGAAACATAATCTTTGATGCAAATTATGATTTGAAATAATCAATTCTTGAGAAAAAATATACCGTAGAACGGGGTGGAAATGCGGGGATATTTTAGAACTCATAACCTGTAGCTTCATCTGGCAACCCTGTTTATACACAACACAATCCCGCGTGAACTACACTGTAATTGTAGAATGCAGAACCTTACTTATCACACAGCAGATGATTTTAGTATTCGTAAGAGCGTAGTTGTGGTATGTTGTGCATTGAAAGCGAGGCGGGAAATTAATCAATATTTGAGCCTGTCAAACTTTCAGTTTTAGTGCGTCGTAGGTGAGACTTGTAACAGATAAGTTTTGGGTAAAAATTGGTGTGGATGTTAGTATCATTTTGCAATAAAGTTATAAGCATTAAGCTGCCTCAAATTTTTTTACGGAACTTTTTGAAGATTGGGTCTATTCTGGACGAATTTTTTGTATTATTCCAAAATATCCCCGGTCTTCTGAAATATCCCCGTTTTCTGAACTATCAATGCTACCTACCTTTTAGTGTGAGTAAATTTACATTTTTTTTTTTGTTTCCAGAGAACATGATTCGCAATTATAGAAAGACCATGAGCCATTCGCGTAACGGAAAAAACAACACTCCATATAAAATTTACACTAATGAAGCTATGGAAAATGCTATAAGAGTCATACAAAGTACGACCCACACACTAGATGACGCGGCAAAAAATTTTAAAGTACCTACGTCTACCTTGGCATTGAGGGTAAAAAAGAAGAGCATGTACCCGACAGCAGGAAGGCCCTATCTTTTATCTGTCGAAGAAGAAAGGGTGCTAATTGAACACTTGAAAAAGGTAAAAAGGTGGTTTCTTGGAGCTTTCCGTTTGATCTACTCGACTTAAGATTGTTGGTTAAATCGTATCTTGATAAAAAAGGTGTAAATGAGAGCAGACTGAAGAATAATTTGCCCGGTCCAGATTGGGCTTCCAATTTCATTAAAAGGCACAAGAACGAAATATCTAATCGCCTTTCAGCAAATATATCCACCAAGAGGGCAATGATGAATAGACAAAAATTAGACGTTTTTTTCGAAAACGCTAGGGGAGCTTTTACCACCACTGATCCATCTCTGATAATTGATTTTGATGAGACTAATTTGACGGATAACCCAGGAGCAAACAGATTCATTTTCAAAAGGGAAATAAAATACCCGGAAAAAGTATTGAATTCGACTAAGACGGCGATAAGCTTGATGTTTGCTGGCTCAGCTGATAGTCAGCTCTTGCCAGAATACGTAGTATACAAAGCTGATCATTCATGATATACATGGATGCAAGGTGGACCTCCTGAAGCAAGGTACAATCTCTTTCGCAATGGATGGTTCGACACCGTGTGTTTTGAAAATTGGTTTTAAACTATTGTTGTGCCATTTTTCAGAGACAAGGATGAAAGAAAGGTATTTTTTTTTTTTGAGAGGCAATCGTTGAATTGTGATGCTATGTTTTATTGAAGATTATTGTTGGAGACAACTTATCTTCACATTTTTCACCTGATGTATTAAAAACGTGCGAAGAATTGAACATTTCTTTTGTCTGCCTACCCAGTAATGCAACGCATTTGATGCAACCACTCGATGTAGCATTTTATGCTCCCTTGAAAAAATATTGGCGTGAAATTCTTACAGATTGGAAGAAAATGGCTGGGCACAAAATGACTACGCTCTCAAAGGATGTTTTCCGCAACTTTTGAATGAACTGCATAAAAAATTGCTTGAAAATAACAAAGTTTCAGAAAATTTGAAAGCAGGTTTCAGGAAAACTGGTTTATACCCATTTGATCCCTCACAATCAAAGCAAAGATTGCCTCCTGAAGAAGCTACAGAGGATGATACACCATCTCTAGTTTCAAGTGTGGTAATTGATATGCTCAATGAAATGCGCGGTGGGCCAGAATCGGAGAAAAAGCAGAGAAGACAAAAAGTTTCAGTTGTACCTGTAAAGAGTGTATCAGCTAGTGATCTGGTGATTGTTACACCAATGAGGAAGGTAACTGCAAGAAAACTACTGACAGGAAAAAGAGCTGTAGTAGAAACTGGAACGAGCACATGTTCTAGTGAGGTGGCATCATCAAGTGTTACACAACCAACAAAAGTATCAAAAAAAAACAAAGAAAAAAATCATTCCTACATCATCTTCTTCAGAAGACGAAGATATATCATTTGAACCTGATGAATCCAACGACTCGCCCGAAAGCTTTAACAGCGATGACTTGCCAATAATATGTAACTATGCTAAGTTGAATATACCATCGAACGTCCTAGATTCAGATGACTGAAATAGTGAAGATATGTCAAACAAAAGAAGGTTATAGATGTCGGTGACTCAGACAATAATAATAATAACAGTGAAGGTTTGCATTTACACCACAATCAAAATATACCAGTGACACTTCCTATTGGAAATGACGACTGGGTTGTAGTGGAGTACAAAGGAATAAATATACCATGTCACTATGTTGGAAAAGTTATTTCACTTTCTCCGTCAAACCATGACTGCTTCTATAAAGTAGATTTTTTAAGAAAATCCAGTTGAACTGATAGTTTTGTAATACCCTCTGAGAAAGATGTAGACGATGCTATAACTGCAGATAATATTGTTGAAGTATTAAATAATCCAATAAGAGATGGTTCAGGAAAAAGAGCTTTTTTCAAATCTATTGACGACTTATCTGCTTTTAATATTCTTTGTTAATTGATAAGTAGATATAATTATTTTTATTTTGTTTGTGATTTACTTTCAGTTCATAAGAGGTGATATTTTACTTGAAAGCCTGAGTGAAATTGAGTTTTTTATATTTTTGTACCTATTAAAAACAATAAAACTCGTTGACTGTGTTGTTTTTCCCTTATTTTCTGTAACAGATGTCCAAAATTGTCGTTAGCGTATCTATGAATAAAAAAATACGTATATTTTCCTTCCAATTTAGCCCCACATACGATATAACTATAATTTATGCGATATTCTTACCGATTGTAATATAACTCGATCGATGGGGCTATTTTGGACGGGCCTGAAAAAATTATTTTAGGCCCCCTGTAGGAAAGGGGACCTTTCAGTCATAGGATAATATTTGGTTGCATATAAACCCATCCAAACCTATTATCAAAATAAATTATTTTCAAATACTTTTTTTTATAAATTGAAAATAATGCAGAAGAAGTCTAGAATAGCCCCGTTCTACGATATTGCTCGAAAACGGATTCGTTAATTAACAATGATATTTTCTACCACTTGTGATAAATATTAAGGAATCATTTTTTTCAGATCAAACTTCATTTTGCCCTATGTTTGTTGATATTTGAATTTTCATTGTTCATTTAATGAAAAATTTGTTTTAAACAATTACATATTTCCTATATATCTGTTTTCATTTCTCTACACAATGTAAAAAAATAACAATGTATTATTTTTTATAATTCATATCGATTTTCAAAAATTCAAAAATTCAGTTCTCCTTTACTCCATCAATCCCGCCTGGTTTCTTGTTGTTCATATTTTCATTTCTATTCGCTTTGAGAATTCATGGAGTATCAAACAAATGAATTTTATCTTATTTTTCACAGTAAATACAGAAAGCTGTGCAGTATTACCAAATGTATTAAACAATTCTATGGAATTCGATCCCATATCAGAAAATAAAGATCATTAGTCATTGGCCCCCACTGGACCGAGTTCTGAGTAACCTTTCCAGAAGGCTCTAACTTATCAATCCAATGTACATTCCTCACTGTCGTAGGGGGCTCGAGGGATATTGGCAGTCAATGAAACGTTTTTGAAATATGAAATTATGTCAATGTTGTTGATTGACAACTGAAATATTCGATGTAATATAATACAAGGTACTCTCCGATATCAGTTTGTTGCTATTTCGCCACTATCCAAATTTTTCTTCAAGATGGGTAGCCAAGTACGATCTATTTCTAAGGAGCTATTCGAGATACAATTCTCTCCAGACATGAGAATATACGCTGATTCTTTTAGCTTACGTCTCTTAGAATGAGGCTCATTGGTAATCTAGGAATAGGACAAGAAAGATTTCCGTAGGTAGGGGTACCATACGACAGCAGGAAGCGGCAATAACAGGAAACAAACGAAACATTTTGAACAAAGCACAAAACAAATTGGAACTCATAACTGATTGATGAGTCCCACAGCTTTTATAGCTGAATATTGTTCATTGAAGCGTAAATTTTCCCCTTCTCCTTTCATTTTACTAACCTAATACTTTCACCCAACTATCACAGAAATTGGCGCCAAATTCAGCTGATTTAATGAATTATGTGCCTCTCAAAGAATTATATTTCCAACAGAAAAATCAGATCGATACTCAAGAGCAAGTAAAGGAATCCGGCTGATGATGACGTAGGTCGTCACTCCTATTGAAATTTTTTTCATATTCACTGCACGAATACCTACTGCAAAATTTCGTAACAGCGCAATCTCAAGGACATCAAAAAGTCGAGTGTCAAGGTCGAATTTCACGTTCAAAGTCACATTATGTGCATATATCTCAAATCATTGTGACGTCATTCAAGGTCAAACGGGTGGTGGGAGGATAAGGGCCGGAATTAGAACCCCACTTTTGTATATGAAGCGTTTCAATCCGAAAATACGAAAAAAAAAATGGAAGAGTTCATTACAAAATTTAAAGAATGAGCTTACGTTTCATTGACTGCCAATATCCCTCGAGCCCCCTACGACAGTGAGGAATGTACATTGGATTGATAAGTTAGAGCCTTCTGGAAAGGTTACTCAGAACTCGGTCCAGTGGGGGCCAATGACTAATGATCTTTAGTTTCTGATATGGGATCGAATTCCATAGAATTGTTCAATACATTTGGTAATACTGCACAGCTTTCTGTATTTACTGTGAAAAATAAGATAAAATTCATTTGTTTGATACTCTATAAATTCTCAAAGCGAATAGAAATGAAAATATGAACAACAAGAAACCAGACGGGATTGATGGAGTAAAGGAGAACTGAATTTTTGAAAATCGATATGAATTATAAAAAATAATACATTGTTATATTTTTACATTGTGTAGAGAAATGAAAACAGATATATAGGAAATATGTAATTGTTTAAAACAAATTTTTCATTAAATGAACAATGAAAATTCAAATATCAACAAACATAGGGCAAAATGAAGTTTGATCTGAAAAAAATGATTCCTTAATATTTATCACAAGTGGTAGAAAATATCATTGTTAATTAACGAATCCGTTTTCGAGCAATATCGTAGAACGGGGCTATTCTAGACTTCTTCTGCATTATTTTCAATTTATAAAAAAAAGTATTTGAAAATAATTCATTTTGATAATAGGTTTGGATGGGTTTATATGCAACCAAATATTATCCTATGACTGAAAGGTCCCCTTTCCTACAGGGGGCCTAAAATAATTTTTTCAGGCCCGTCCAAAATAGCCCCATCGATCGAGTTATATTACAATCGGTAAGAATATCGCATAAATTATAGTTATATCGTATGTGGGGCTAAATTGGAAGGAAAATATACGTATTTTTTTATTCATAGATACGCTAACGACAATTTTGGACATCTGTTACAGAAAATAAGGGAAAAACAACACAGTCAACGAGTTTTATTGTTTTTAATAGGTACAAAAATATAAAAAACTCAATTTCACTCAGGCTTTCAAGTAAAATATCACCTCTTATGAACTAAAAGTAAATCACAAACAAAATAAAAATAATTATATCTACTCATCAATTAACAAGGAATATTAAAAGCAGATAAATCGTCAATAGATTTGAAAAAAGCTCTTTTTCCAATCATGTACTTTACAAAATACCCTTTATGTGCCAAATCTGAAGAAAAATCTATTCTCAGTGGGAGCTGTGACTGAGAAAAATTTGAAGGTTATTTATAAAAATGATTAGATCGAAATTTATAACTCTACAAAGTTAGTGGCAGCTGGAAGAAAATAGTACAATCATTGCTTCAAAATGTTATTTGAAAACCCTAAAGAAAGCCAAGCCAATGTAGCAAGCATACTCAATTCAGTTATGTTATGGCAAGGAAGATTAGGCCACGTTAAGGCTGCACTTTAGTATTTGGGATAACGCCCACCAGGGGGAGTGGCATATAAATCGAAATGGGACGATGAGAAGAACACAATGGTATGGGTTTTATCGCGAGGAAATAAGAGAAAAAAAATTTGAAAAATGTCAAAATTTTGTGACATGAACTAACCTAACCTAACCTAACCTAACCTAACCTAACCTAACCCAACCNAGGAACTTGCATTACAATTCAAAATAACTACCGGAGATGGAGATTACTTTGTGGGAATTGAAATACATCGAGAAAGAGAACTAAACCAGATTTTCATAAGCCAGCAGGGATATTTATCAAGGATCCTGGATAAGTTCAATATGTTCGACTGCAATCCGAATTCAACACCAGCAGATCCAAATGTAGTCCAGGAAATGGGACAACGCACGACTAGTGAAGAACAGGAAATGGAATCTATACCCTACAGAGAAGCAGTAGGATCTTTAATGTTTTTGGCAACTGTAACAAGGCCAGACATTATGTATGCAGTAAGTCAAGTGAGCAGATTCTTGTCAAAGCCAAGAAAGGTACATTGGGTTGCTGTTAAACGAATATTTAGATATTTGAAAGGAAGTCGTGATGTTGGTATCAAATATGGAACAGAAAGAATGAACTTGCAAGCCTTTTCTGATGCAGATTTTGCCGGGAACATTGATACTCGCAAATCAACAACTGGCTACGCAACTATGATGAATGGAGATATCGTAACATGGTCTTCACATCAACAAAAATGTGTATCGAGATCAACAAACGAATCAGAATACATAGCAGCGTCTGATGCCGCTCAAGAAATTGTTTGGATACGTTCATTTCTACATGAATTGAAAATATTGTTCGTCGATAATCAAGGTGCTATTAGTTTGGTTAAAAATCAAGAACATCACAGGAAAACCAAACATATCGACATAAAATTTCATTACATAAGGGAACAAGTGGAGAATGGATTACTATCTCTATCGTATGTCTGTTCAGAGGAACACCTTGCAGACATGTTCACCAAGCCACTTCCAAGAATGAAATTTATGAAAAAAAGAAATGCATTATTCATCTCTTCAAGAACGTGAATAAAGAGTGGGAGTATTGGAAAACAGCTTTGTTCACTCTGTGTATTATTTCAGTTTTGTTCTTCTTTTACGACTCATTGTAATATGTCTTATGTTTTCATAGAAACGACAAGTTAAGAATTCATTATAAAACTTAATGAATAATCTTACTTTCCTCAAGTCTCATTGACCGCCAGTATTCCTAGAACCCCCAACGACAGTGAGGAATGTACATTGGATTGATAAGCCAGAGCCTTCTGGAAAGGTTACTCAGAACTAGGTCCAGTGGGGCCTAATGACTAATAATCTTTAGTTACTGATATGGGATCAAATTCCATAGAATTGTCTGATAAATTTGGTATTACTCCACAGCTTTCTGTATTTACTGTGAAAAATAAGATAAAATTCATTTGTTTGATACCCTACAAATTCTGAAAGTAATAGAAATGCAAATATGAACAACAAGAAACCAGGTGAGATTGATGGAGTAAAGGAGAACTGAATTTTTGAAATTCGATATGAAATATAAATATTTTTTTTTCCGAAGAAATAATACATTGTTATTTTTGTTACATTGTGTAGGAAGATGGAAACGGATATATAGAAAATATGTATTTGTTTATAACAAATTCTTTAATAAATAAACACTGACAATTCAAATATAAACATGCATCAACAATCAAAGAGAAAAATGAAGTTTGATCTGAAAAAATGGTTCCCTAATATTTATCACAAGTGGTAGAAAAAAATTGTTAATTAACAAATCCGTTTCCAAGCAATACTTTTTTTCCCAAGAATTGATTTTTTCAATCATAATTTGCATCAAAGATTGTTTCCATTGGAAAATTTTGACTTCCTTTAGACAACGCATTCGTTTATAACAACTTCAGCAAAAGATATATAGGAAATATGTTATTGTTTATAACAAATTCTTTATTAATTAACAGTGGAAATTCAAATATAAACATTTATCAGCAATCAAAGAGCAAAATGAAGTTTGATCTGAAAAAAGTGATTCCTCAATATTTATCACAAGTGGTAGAAAAAAAACCATTGTTAATTAACAAATCCGTTTTCAAGCAATATATTTTTTCTCAAGAATTGATTTTTTCAAATCATAATTTGCATCAAAGATTATGTTTCCAAAGTTGAATTTTGACTTCCTTTAGACAACGCATTTGTTTATAACAACTTCTTGAACAATAACAGATGAATGTTTTTAAAATAATTTTCATGTAGCTTCTAATTATGAAAAAACGGATTTCTAGTCATATCAAAAAATATATTTTCAATAATTAATGAATCTTTTCAATTTTCAACCAAAGTGAATTATTGATAACACATTGAAAAATAACAATTTTTTCATTTCATTTATCACAAGACTAATAACTCATTTATTGAAATGACATAAAAAAAATAAAAGATATGAATTTTATTTCAAATCACAGAATCACAAATGAAGTTTGAAATTTTACAATCAATTATTTATAATCGATATTTCACACACTTTCTAGCTCTCTTCGTCTTCATCTCCTAATCACTTGGAGTCAATTGTTCCAACATTTTCCTCTTCTTTGCTGGAATTGGTTCAATCTGTATTCGTGACCTCTTTTGGACTACTGTTTTTCTCATATTACGGGAAAACATTCTTTCGGTATTACCTAATCGAGAAGTTTGGACATGAGTTCGTGGGTCTATGACAACCTCCAGATTGTGTTTTCTCTCCAGTTCTAATTCTTCTCAAATTTTCTGTCTCAGAATAAAATCTCTGAAGCAACTATCCGTCCATTGCGAAATGGCTCTGATAGAAGCAACTAATGAACATGGGTCCAACATCCTAGAAATACAAGTTATGTTAGTTGAATAAATAAAAATGATAGATGGATATTATACACAACATAGAAAACAGAAAGATACTATCACAGAAATTGGCGCCAAATTCAGCTGATTTAATGAATTATGTGCCTCTCAAAGAATTATATTTCCAACAGAAAAATCATATCGATACTCAAGCAAGTAAAGGAATCCCGCTGATGATGACGCAGGTTGTCACTCCTTTTGAAATTTTTTCCATATTCACTACACGAATACCTACTGCAAAATTTAACAGCGCAATCTCAAGGTCATCAAAACGTCGAGTGTCAAGGTCGAACTTCACGTTCAAAGTCACATTATGTGCATATATCTCAAATCCATATGACGTCATTCAAGTTCAAACGGGTGGTGGAAGGATAATGGCCGGAATTAGAACCCCACTTTTGTATATGAAGCTTTTCAATCCGAAAATCCGAAAAAAAAATTGAAGAGTTCATTAGAAAATTTAATGAATGAGCTTACGTTTCATTGACCGCCAATATTCCTCGAGCCCCCTATGACAGTGAGGAATGTACATTGGATTGATGAGCCAGAGCCTTCTGGAAAGGTTACTCAGAACTCGGTCCAGTGGGGGCCAATGACTAATGATCTTCAGTTTCTGATATGGGATCAAATTCCATAGAATTGTTTAATACATTTGGTAATACTGCACAGCTTTCTGTATTTACTGTGAAAAATAAGATAAAATTCATTTGTTTGATACTCTACAAATTCTCAAAGAAAATACAAATGCAAATATGAACAACAAGTAATCAGGTGAGATTGATGGAGTGAAGGAGAACTGAATTTTTGAAATTCGATATGAAATATAAATAATTTCTTTTCGAGGAAATAATACATTGTTATTTCTGTTACGTTCTGTAGAAATATCTTAGATATTTCTTACCTTGATTGGCTCAGTCGGATTTCTATAAGCATGCAGCGCCCTCTCTCTCTACAGGTAGAGTTCTTGGAAAGGTCTTGTTTGTTTTCAAAAATATTCTGCCAAATAAATTTTCAAAAAAGATAATAAATATAATATTGAATTCCAAAATTATGGCACTAAGACAATCAACCTTAACTTTAACCTACCTACACCTGCGAAAAATATCTTAAATTTTAAATCATGAACAGAATTACACCACAAAGTACCACTCTATAATAATTGCTGTTCTGTGGTATAACCTTGTTGAAATTAATTACTCAGCCACACGTCGTGGAGTGAACATCTTGCTCTCTTACCGTTGAACGGTTGCTGCTGCTGTGACGTCACACCACTACCAACTTGGTGGGCTCACACCGATGGAACATTCATTACTTGGAGGATCTTCGAAGTATGCAGACGTATGTTTGTACATAGACAAGCATATGATGAAACCCTGTACCGTGCATTCTCACACACACACACACAAAATCTCATATGAAAAAAAAAACTGAACGATCCATGAACCAGACACTTCAAGGTCACATTGCCTTGACTTCACTAAACAACAAAAAAAAAACAATTAATACGTGATAGTGGTGAGGGGAGACTTAGAACCGGAAAAAAAATCCTGAACGATCCATGCACCAGACACTTCAAGGTCACATCACCTTGACTTCACTAAACAACGACAAAAAAAGCAATTAATACGTCATAGTGGTGGGAGGAGGCTTAGAACCGGCTCAAATCTCCTACTCCGCCCTCTTTCGACGTATTCGACCTACCCAGGCCCGAATACATCTGGAGGTACGCCGACCCAGTACAACTACGGAGTAACTCACGTGAGTTGCTCCATTGCACTGCTGTCTGGGGGCTTAAAATCGTCTCTGTGCCTCCGGAGGCCGTTCTCATCTTCGGGGTAGGTCGTCAAGGCGCGAAGTGTGTGTCGGTTAGAGAGTAGGGATCGTAGGGAACCCTCTGGCCCGGCCTAGTGCCATCGTGGTGGCCAGTTGTACCCCTTGCGGCGCAATTAGCTTAGTTAAAAGCAGGGAATCTAATAATCCAGCCGAACTATTGGTTTTAATCGTATGGTGATGGAAAAGGAACTACGTGAAACTGAAATGCTGGAGCCGAGTTTCCTTTTTGAAGGAGGCTCGACAGATAGATCATCTGGAGGAGTAGCACCCACCAGCTCTGGTCTCGGTGCGGCAGGCGGCCTGGGGTTTGATGGTGTCGCAGGACTTCACGCCCAGCCGGGTGTCATCTTTACTAGACATCCCCAGGTACCGTCCTGGCGACAACGTATCGTCGCCAGTCACCTGGGTGCGTAGACCCTCCCACTCAATACTTATTATTGTTTACCGGTCAGCGAAGATAACATTCTGACAGTAAACATCTCATTTCATTCTTATTAGTTTCAGGTTGGAATTCATAAATTGGAGAATTAAACATATTCACTCACAATTGGAAAAATTGGTCTCTTTCAAGGTGTCATTTGATAGGTGTGTTTCAGTGTACTTTGAATATAAATTACCAATTTATGCCGAATAATGTATGTGATACTCTCTCTCATAAAGTTCTTTCCTCTTTAATACTAAATAACCTCATAAAATAAGTACTCTCCACTCCTAGATTGTTATACTAAATAGTTGATTTTGGCTTGCTGTTTAGCTAGATATTATCTATACACTCGATTTCTTTGAAAATAGCTCGACATAATGGCTGAAAGTTTTAAGAAATTGAATCAAAATATTACTCATCGTGGAACTGAAATGATTGAAATCAATGAGTTGAGGAAAGTATCTGACAGGGCTCTCGCTGGTAAATCTATTCACAATAATTTTAAATGCAGGTACATGCATATTGAAGGGGAACAGGAGTAATTCGAAAAGTTTCATAATATTGTAATGAGTCTGGTTTCCACTCAAGAGAATCCGGATTTGGATACTCACAATAAGATTTTTACCGATTTTCAAACGGACCTGTTTTCTGTTCAGGCAATTTATATGCAACTTTTCGATGATACAAGTATTCTGCCTTTGAACAGTACCATGACATTAGCACCCTACTTTTGTATATGAAGCTTTTCAATCCGAGGATCCGATAAAAAAATTGAAGAGTTTATTGGAACAGCTTTGTTCACTCTGTGTATTATTTCAGTTTTGTTCTTCTTTTATGACTCATTGTGATATGTCTTATATTTTCATAGAAACGACAAGTTATTGATTAAACAAAAATATAAATAAAAACAAGAAGTTTGAGAAGTAGTTTCAACTGATTTTTCAATTGCAAAACTTTTGTATTTCTGCTAAATCCAAAAGGTTATGGGCCCAGTACACGTAACTGTGTTCTGAAAAATCCTGTAAATAAGTTTTGCACAAGTTTATTTTGCGGAAAAGTGTCACTGTCACATCGAGTTATACTTCTGGTTCTAACAAGCCAAGAAAGTGAGTAAAGATGGACAAGCTGAGGTCTCTTCACATCCAAAAGTTTGATGGAACTAATTTCCACCTGTGGAAGTATCAGATGCAAATTATCTTCAACGCCGAAGGACTTCTGAACCTGGTTGACGGACAGAAACAAAAGCCTGCAACCACAGATGATGAAAAGGAAAAGAAAGAATGGGAAGAATCCAATTCGAAGGCCATGCTTATCATTTCAACAGCAATGGAGTTCGATCAATTACAGACAGTGATGAGTTGTAAAACAGCACCAGAAATGTGAAGTCGACTGAAAATCATCCATGAACAAAGGTCGTCAGCTAATAAGGTGATACTGAAACAGAAGTTTTTCAACTATAGAATGTCCGAAATTGATAGTATTGCTCAGCACATTAGCAAAATCGAATCAATGGCACAAGCTCTTGCTGACGTAGGTGAACAGATTCCCGATATCGACAAAATAGCTAAAGTTTTGGGAAATCTTTCTGCCAAATATGGATCCTCACAGCGTGGGATTCTTATGATGAAACCAAACAAACGTTCAATAACCTGACGGCTCGTTTGCTGAAGGAAGAAATGAGTCTATCCCTAATGACGAAGCCGCAACAGCATTTGTAGCAGCAAAACCAAATTCGCATCATTCAGATAGATACGACTCCTCTAGTAGCCATGCTAACCGTTCGAATCTTCAGCAAAAAAAGGATGTTGAATGTTTTTTTTGCCACAAGAAAGGTCACTATAAGTCCGAGTGCAGGTACAGGTCAGCTAATAAAAACAAAGATAACCGACAACCGAAAAATCATCAGTGGAAATTCAAACATCAAGCCTTGAGTGCCTAGTGGAAAAATCTCGAAATTAAAGGCTATGATAATGTTTGGTTGGCGGACAGTGCAGCATCAAAGCACATGACATTTCACAAAGAATGGTTCACAGAGCTCCATCCAATAAATCCTCGAGTATCAATTCAGCTCGGAGATAATTCTTTTGTATATGCAGAAGGAATTGGTTCAATAAAATTGGAAGCCCTTTATGTGCCAAATCTGAAGAAAAATCTATTCTCAGTTTGAGCTGTGACTGAGAAAAATTCAAAGGTTATTTTTAAAAATGATAAGATCGAAATTTATAACTCTACATAGTTAGTGGCAGTTGGAAGAAAACGGTATAATCATTGCTTCAAAATGTTATTTGAAAACCCTATAGAAAGATAAGCCAATGTAGCAAGCATACCCAATTCCGTTATGTTATGGCATGAAAGATTAGACCACATTAATTTCCAAACTTTGAAGGAAATGGCCGATGAAGGTCGAATCCCAGGACTGAAAATAGCTAGTACAGAAGGTTTGTTCTGCGAATCCTGCCAATTTGGGAAGATGGTTGATACCAGGATGTCACTATGATTATAATATGCACTTTTCAATTTTATTTCAGACGTAGTAACTTGTTTATTTGCTTGATTTTCAGGAGCTTAATTCACAATCGACTACTCGCTTCCTTGAATGGAAGTGATCTTCCTTGATGGCCTCACTGTTATATGTCTTACCCATCCTTTCCGTTGCGATTCCGTCATTTCCGGTATATTTACAGAACTTCGCTTCATTTCTATTTCTTTTTAGTCTTCTTTTAGGCCCCAGAATTATTGTCAATATTTTTCTTTTTTATTTTCTAATATTTTCTTTCGCTTCATCATTTGTGATGACTGACCGTATCTTTATTTTTATCTTTTTGCCAAGTTTTCTATTTCTCAGTATCTTCCAATTTTTTTTTGGAATTCTTTCTCAAATGTTGTCTTTTTCGTTTTTTCCCATGACCACTTCAAGGTAATAGTCTTAAGAGGCTCCCCTATGTTTTCTTATAGTCCGTTCATAATTTGTCGATAGCACAAAAGAGGGCCCAAGTCATAAAACGGTCGTAAAACTCGTAAAATCATAGGCGGAGGTTCCTGAGGTGTTTAATATCTGAATAATGATTTCAATTT